CCTGGCCAGTCAATCAAAAGTAGTCCCCCTTCCCTAATTCTCTCATAATACCATATTTTCTTCCCTTTGTAGCACTTAACATGAGCTATAGTTCATTCACTTTAAAAATCAGTCTTTTTGATACAATAAAGTGCATCTATTTAGGGTGTACAGTTAGTTTTGACAAACACCTATGTATACACCATGCCACTCAAGATATAGAGTATCTCCATAACCTGTAAAATTTTCCTGATTCCTCTTTCCAGTCAATATTCCCCCTTCCCATGGCCAGCCCCAGTCAATCACTGCTCTGCTTTGTGTCTGCAGAGCTTAGTTTTACTTGTTCTAGAACTTCATTTAAATGTAAAGATATGCTATGTACTCTTCTGTCTGGCTTCTTTCACTCAGCATGTTTATGAGGTTCATTTATGTTGTAGCATTTGTCAGTATTTTGCTCCTTTCTATTTCTGAGTAATAAGCCATTGAATGAATATGCCACAATTTATCTGTTGACCTGTTGATGGACACCTGTGCTATTTCCAGTTTGGGGCTATTATGGATAAAGCTGCTCTGACAATTTATGCAAAAATCTTTGTGTGGGGCCAGCCCAGTGGCACACTGAAGAGTGCGCCACTTGGGAGCGCGGCGGCGCTCCCGCCGAGGGTTCGGATCCCATGTGGAGACCGGTTCCCACTCACTGGCTGAGCGCGGTGCAGATGCAACACTAAGGGTTGCGATCCCGTTGCCAGTCCCTGGTACGGGCACGACACCGAGGGTTGCGATCCCGTTACCGGTCAGTAAAAAAGACAAAAAGGGAAAGAAAAAAAAAAAATCTTTGTGTGGATGTACATTTTCATTTCTTTGGGGTAAATACCTATAATGGAGATTGCTGGGCAAATGTAAATGTATGTTTAATTTATAAGAAACCATCAAACTTGGGGCCGGCCCAGTGGCGCACTGCTACAGTGCGCCGCTTGGGAGCGCGGTGGCGTTCCCGCCGAGGGTTCAGATACCACATACAGACCGGTTCCCGCTCACTGGCTGAGCAAGGTGCGGGCGCAACACCGAGGGTTGCGATCCCGTTGCTGGTCCCGGTCCAGTACGGGCGCGACACTGAGGGTTGCGATCCGTTGCCGGACACGAAAAAAGACAAAAAGGAAAAAAAAAAAAAAAAAGAAACCATCAAACTTTTTTCCAAAGTGATTGTTCCAGTTTACACTCCTACCAGCAGTGTATGAGAGGACTTCAAAATGTTTGTGAAGAAATGGAATTAAAAAATAAAAATATAAAATATAAACCTTATTTCTCAACATAAGCTTCATCAAGCACTTTAATAGGAATGATACCAGCCATTTAGTACATCCCTAAAGAACTGAGGGTCCTGGGAATTCAACCATGTTAATGCAGTCTGTTTTACATTTTTTACTGAAGGAAAGTAGGTGCTCTTTAAAGATTTTTTAAGGTTAGGAACAAAAAGAAATCAGAAAGAGCCAAATCAGGAATGTAAGGTGGGTGCCTAAAGATTTCCATTGAAACTCTCACAAAATTGCACTTGTTTGATGAGAGGAATGAGCAGGAGCATTGTCGTGGTGGAGAAGGACTCTCTGGTGAGGCTTTCCCAGGTGTTGTTCTGCTAAAGCTCTGCTAACTTTCTCAAAATGCTCTCACGATAAGCAGATGTTATTTGTTCTTTGGCCCTCCAGAAAGTCAACAAACAAAATGCCTTGTGTATCCCAAAAATTATTGCCACAACTTTTGCTTTTGACCAGTCCATTTTTGCTTTGACTCTTGGTAGCCACAGCTTTGATTGTGCTTTGTCTTCAGGACCCTACTGGTAAAGCCATATTTCATCTCATTATGATTCTTCTAAGAAATGCTTCAGGATTTCAATCCGACTTGTTTAAAATCTCCATTGAAAGCTCTGCTCTTGTCTGCAGCTGACCTGGAAACAAGAGTTTTGGCACCCATCAACCATAAAGTTTGCTCACCTTTTTTTTTTTTTTTTTGGTGGCTAGCCAGTATAGGGACCTGAACCTTTGATGCTGGTGTTATCAGCACCATGCTCTACCAAGTGAACTAACTGGCCAGGCTGCGCCTTTAATTTTTCAGTCAGAATTGTATAAACTGCAAGGGTTTGGATCCCTACTCAGGCAGGCAACCAAAAAAAATTGAATTGAATTGTGTAAGCTGAACCAGTTGAGATGTCTATGGTGTTGGCTATTGTTTCTGCTGTTAGTCATCAGTCCTCTTCAATTAGGGTATGAACAAGGTTAGCTTCTTCCTTGCAAATTGAAGTACATGGTCTGCTGCTATGGGCTTCATCTTCAACATTGTCTCATCCCTTCTTAAAATGAGTTATCCATTTATAAACTGATGATTTCTTTGGGACGTTGTCCCCATAAACCTTTCGTAAAGCATCAATGATTTCACCATTTTTCCATCCAAGCTTCATTATAAATTTGATAGTTGTTCTTGCTTCAATTTTAGCAGAATTTATGTTGCTCTGATGGGGGCTCTTTTCAAACTAATGTCTTATTCTTCTTAGTGTCTTGAACTAGATCCTGTTGAGACATGTTATAACAAGTTACTACAAGTTTATCTTGGTGCAAAAAAATTTTGAAATATATGTATAGTTGTTTTTGTAATACACATTTTCCATGAACCCTCATATGAGAGTTCCAATTGTTCCAAATCCTCACCAACACTTTTTATTACCAGTCTTTTAAAGGGGCAGCTGGCCAGTACAAGGATTGAACCCTGGACCTTGGTGTTATCAGCACCATGCTCTAACCAAGGGTTTTGCCATTCTAATGGTATGTGATGTTATCTCATTGTTTTTAATTTACATTTTCCTAATGACTAATGATGCTGAGAAACTTTTCATGTGCTTATTGTATATTTGTATATCTTTTTAAAAAAGTATTTGTTAAAACCTTTTGCCCATATTTTAACTTGGTTGTTTGTATTATTGCTGTTATAAGATTTCTTTATATGTTCTAGATACAATGAAAAATATGTGTTGCAAAACTTTCTTCTAGCATGTGACTTTTCATTTTCTTAATGCTGTCTTTTTTTCCCCTTTCATGATTAGTTCTTTCTATGATCTCTGCCTACACCAAGGTCATGAAGGTATTCTTCTATTCTTCTAGGAGTTTTATAGTTTTTATTCTTTAAAAATGTTTAGTTCTTTGATCCATTTTGAGTATGGTATGTAGGGATTGAGATGCATTGTTTTCCATATGGATATCCAGTTATTCCAATACCATTTGTTGAAAGGTCTATCACATCACCTGTAGTTATTTAAATTTTGTTTCCTTTTCTTTAATTATTATTGGTGTCTCCCACTAGTCCATAAGTTCCATATATTTGTTTTAATTTAATCTCGGCTCTTCTCCATCCCTGCTACCTCCTTGCAGGTAGAGAAAGCAGAGAAAGGCTTACTGGCAAGTTAATTCAAGACACTATCCCAGGGAACAGGAGCAGGGGACTGAGGAGAGTGAAATAGGACGGTGTGAAAGCCAGTACGATGGGATGTATGGAGCTGGCCACCACTGTGGGCAACTGCGACTAGATCCAGCTGGGACATTATTACAAAGGTTACAGATGGAGAGATGCATAGGGTAAGCTATGCAGGAAGGGGCACAGAGCTTCCATGCCCTCTCCAGGCATGCCACCCTGCAGGAATCTCAATCTGTTCTCCAGAAACTTCCTGAACCCTGTGCTCCTGGGTTTTTATGGAAGCTTTGTTATGAAGGCATGACTGAAGCATGGACAAACATGTAGAAACATGACTGGACAAAAAGGGTATTATCTAATGCTAACAGACTGAATGGGGAAGCCCAGCAAGGCCTGTTTGTTCAGGTTCTTCTTGACCTCTCTGTGCAGCATTCCTTTCTCCCGGCGATGGGGCAGGGCCCCTCGTGAAATGGATGCTTTATTACCTACAATCAGACAAGGCAGGTCAGAAGATTTCTTTATGTCCAGTTCCAAAACAGAAGGGCAGGGGAAGATTAGAGTCCTGCCTTGGGGAGCCAGAAACTGAACGATAACCTATATATATATATCATAGTATCTCACTGGTAAATGGCTAAACTATGGTACATCCATACAAAAAGGAATAAAAAGGGATGAACTATTGATAATACATGCAATGACATAGAGGGACCTCAAGGGCCTTATTCTTAGTGGAAAAATTCATATGCATAACATTGTCAAAATGACAAAATTACGGAGATGGAGAACAGATTAATGGTTGCCAGGGACGGAGGTATGAAGTGGGAGCGAATGTGTATATAGAGGTGGCACTAGAGAGTTATTTTGTGATGATGTAACAGCTATCTGTCTTTACTATGCTGGTAGTTACATGAATCTACACATGGGATAAAAGTACATAGAAATATGCACACACCCCCACACACAAATGCATGTAGGTGAAAACTAAGTAAGGTCTGTAGTATAGTTAGTAATAATGTACCAATGTCAATTTCCTGGTTTTGATATTGTACTACAGGGGCAGGCCAGTTAGCTCAGTTGGTTAGAGTGCTGCCTTATAACACCAGGGTTAAGGGTTGAAGATTTCTGTGCCAGCTGCCAAAAAGAAAAAGATATTGTACTACAGCTATTTATAATACGTCACCAAGGGGGGCCCTGGGGAAAGGGTACAGAAGACTATTATTTTTGCAACTACTTGTGAGTCTATAATTATTTCAAAATTAAAAGTTTAGAAGTTACTTAAGGATGAGTATACTAATTATCCTAATAGGGTCATCAGGTATTGTACCCAGGGATTGATATTCAATTCTGTACCCCACAAATATGTATAATCAATTATGTTTCAATTTTTTTTTTTTTTTTTTTTTGTCATTTTTCGTGACTGGTAATGGGATCGCAACCCTCGGTGTCACGCCTGCACCGCGCTCAACCAGTGAGTGGACCGGTCTCTATATGGGATCCGAACCCTTGGCGGGAGTGCCGCTGCACTCCCAAGCGCCACACTCTACTGAGTGCGCCACCGGGCTGGCCCATGTTTCAATTTTAAAAAGTTTAGAAATAAAACTCTAGCAGGTGGGTAAAAAAGTTTTTTTTTTTTTTTAAATTGGAGAAATTTGCAAATGATTGGGTATTAGATAACATTTGGGAATTATTATCAACTTTCTTAGGTGTGATAATGTATGCTTATCACATGTCCACATTCTCAGGTGATGTATGTTGAAGTTTTAGAGGTGAAGTGTCAAAGTATCTGCAACTTACTTGCAAATGGTTTAGCAAATACATGCCCGTGTATATACGTCATCTTAAAATATGGCAAAATGCAAACAATTGTTGAATCTAGGTGGTAGATTTATATGTGTTCATTGTATTAGCATTTTAACTTTATATTTGAAAATTTTCATAATAAAAAGTTGAAACAAAAAAAGTAATAAACCACTGATATGTACAACAATATAGATAATCCCAAAAGCATTATGGTAAGTGAAAGAAACTAGACTCAAAAGGCTACACACTGTAAGATTCCATTTATATGACATTCTGGAAAAGGAGAAACTATAGGGACAGAAATCAGATCAGTGGTTGCCAGTGTCTGGGGATGGGGAGAGGAGGTAATTGTTAAAGAGCAACAGGAAAATTTTGAAGGTGATGAAAATGTTCTATACTTTGATTGTAATGATGGTTACACAACTGTATGTTTTTGCCAAAACTCATAGAACTATATACTAAAAAAGGTGAATTTTAATGTACATAAGTTATACCTTAAAGAAAAAGAGAAAGAATCATGTGAAGAACCATTAAAAAACAAATTATGTGAGGGTAAGGATCTTACCTATCTTAGGCTTGTTTGTTGTTCTTCTAACACTTCTTTTTTCCCAAATAACACTGTGTTTCAGGGACCCTCTGGCTGTGCAGTACTGTGTCTTGGTAAAGGGCAGATGCTCAATGGGTACTTGTTGAAAGAGTGATCTCACTGGTCTCACTCACATGGGACTTGACATATTTCCTGCTGCATCCTCTGGAACAGCCTCGATGTCCTGTACCATGGTGCTATCTGAGTTGAGGGAGCTCTGTCAGCGATCTTAGGGACCAGCAACAGCTCCAGGAAGCAGCACCTGGCTGCATCAACAGAGGCCCAGGTGAAGTTGTTTACCTTTCTCCGGAGACATGTAAATCACTAAATTTCCTTCCCCATACTGCAAAAACTAGTTCATTTTAAAAAGAAGAAAGAAGTTGGTAATTTCCTTTCAAACCTAAAATGCTAAATAAATACAACACTTTGTTTTACAACATAATAATAACTACTATTTATTAGGAGCTTTCTCAGTGTCAGGTCCTTATACAGGCACCATGTTATACTCACAGCACTTGCACAAAGTAGCTATTGTTAGCCCCATTGTGCAGGTGAGGAAGCTGAGGCTTAAAGGTGAAGTAACTTGCCGTTGGCCACATCCTGGGGTGCTCTGACAGCAGATCCTGATGTTATACTCACAGCACTTGCACAAAGTAGCTATTGTTAGCCCCATTGTGCAGGTGAGGAAGATGAGGCTTAAAGGTGAAGTAACTTGCCGTTGGCCACATCCTGGGGTGCTCTGACAGCAGATCCTGCACTTACCTGCCCCACCATGTGGCCTCTGGAAGAGCCCTCCTTGTCCCCTTCCCTGGGGACAGTCTTTATGTAGAGTCACTGCAGGTCCAGCTGCACCATGCAGGCCACAGACGTCTCTTCCTCTGGCACAGAATGGGAATGTTCTCTCTGCAGTGGGCTGAGTGGCCGTATATCTAGGTCAAAATGGGGAGGAAAGAGAGGGAAGAGGGTGAGGGAAGGAAAGGGAAGGGGAGAGCATCAGAAAACCCCAGATGCTTTTTCTAGCTTTTTTAAAAAAACAGGCATTAGGGAACACAAATTTTTATCACAGTCTGTTTCATTAGAAAGGAGAAGGGAGAAGGGGAACAGCAGGTCGTGGAGGGAGAAAAGGGCATCCATTCAGACCGCTGCACTGGGTCTGGGGTCCAATGATAATGACAATAGAGATGGCGACGATGGCAACAATGATAGCCGACACTGTGCCCGGTGCTGTGCTAAGCTCTCCACACCAGTGATCTCAGGTAACCTCAGTAACTCTACAGGTTAAGTATCATCACCATCATCCCCATTTCAGATTAGAAAACTGAGGCCCAGAAAGTACACCAAATCACACATTTTCATATGTGACAGTACTCGTATATAAATATATTGAATGAGGTCAGGAAGGACACATTAAACAACAATAGCAAGTACCTGAGGGGAGTGAGTGTGATAAAAGTGGGGCGCTTTAGCTTTTTATTGTATTGTGTAATATTTTTTTACAATGGGAATGTGTAAGCATGAGTGTAATTTTTAAGTGGGTGGTGCTAAAGACTGCGTCCAAGGATCCCATAAATAATCTGGAGCCGCGTCTCACAGACTGCAGATCCTAGGCCTTAACCATCAGGCTGCACAGCCTTTCGAAAAGAGCCTGGTGCCTGACCCCCACTTGCTGATGGTAGAAGAGGAGGAGGAAACGACTTGCCCCATGCCGCTTCCCTGGGTCTCCCCGGGGGCTGGGCTTTCGGGGAGCCCATTGCTGGGTGTCCAGCCCCGGAGCCCGCCCACTGTAGCGGAGCCGACTCCCGGCCAATCAGACACGGGTGATGCCACTCTGGAGATGAGAGTGGCAGGAAATCAAGGTCAAAGCCCCGGACACAATGGGGCCATTGTCGGTCTCCAGTCAGTTGACTTTCAAGCAGCAGTTCCCCATTCACCCTCTCTCCTCCCCCATTTCCCCCGCGCCCGGCCAGTAAGTCTCCCAAACCTATTGCCTCCTTATTAGCCTCCGCCTGAAGGAAGCTGCGTTCTGGAACCTACCCGAGACCCTAGAGACTGGGCCGCCCCTTGCATTGTCTTTTATGCCCACCAGGTGGCGATAGAGCTCCACATTTCTGAGGGCGGGGAGGGAGGCAAGGGACCGGCTGCTCAAGCACTGATCAGGGCGTGGGGAACCCAGCCCTTCCTGTTTTATCCAAGAGAAACAAAAAACGAAGTCAGATTATTCTTTCCCTAACCTTTTACTCTGAGGTCACCGGGATCTGGAATCTCAGGGGCTCTTCCCTCAATAATCGGCAAAATCGCCGTGGACTGCAGCACTTTTCTTTGACCAAGAGGAAAACCGAGGGGAAACCTCTTAACTCAGCAAGTCACAGCAGGTAGAACCCTGACTGCCTCTGTGGTCTGGATTAATCAACCGGCTGATTGATCGGTTGTATGAATGTATAAATGTCATTTCTGAAAGGTCTTCCAGTCTAAATTGTGTCCTCCCTGTTGTTCTCCATAAGAGCCCGCTGTATTTCTCCTTCTTTCCCTGTATGGCAATTTGTAACTGGACATGTATTTGCTTGATTATTTCCCACTAGAATAGACTCTGTGAGAGCAGGGACTGAGTCTGTTTTGGTTCACCAATGTGTGCGTAGTGTCTAGTACAGTATCTGGCACACAGTGGGTGTTCAGTAAATATCTGTCAACATAATGAATGAATGAGTGCTCTATTGAGCAATGGGGGTGGAGGTGGGCTTCAGATTCCTGAGAATTCAGCATGAAAGAATACAGGTAGAACCTGGACCCATTTAGCAGGCTGCCCCTGGCCCAGACCATCAAATTAGAGAGGCATGCCCAGACACAGAAGAGCTTCAGGGTTAAGACATCTGATCTGGGCTCTGGCCATCTGGCTTCACAATCTCACCTCCAACCTTCATGTGCTGGGCAACTCTGCACACACCCACCTTTCTAAAGGAGAGTTTTAGACTCCTCCTCTGTGAAATGGGGATAAAAATGGCATCTATCTTTTAAGGCCATGGTGCGGGTTCTGAGAGATACTCATAATGCATAGAAGGTGCTTGGCACAAGGCCTGGAACACAGTAAGAACTCAGTGAATATTGCTCATTATTATTATTGCTGCTACTGCTGCTGTTATTAGGGAAGGAACTTTCACTGAGACTGTAGCCCAAGTGCGCAAGGCAGGTGCCAGCTGAGGTGAGGAGTCCGGGGCTCAGAGAGCAGTTCTATTGGTACCTTCCCAATAGCAGTTCTTGCTTGGTTTCTTCTGTGAACTGGTCCAGGAAGCTGAGGCTGCTGGGGCTGTTCCTCTCTCCTGGTGGCAGGTCTTACCATCTCGTCGGAGAACAAATTTGTCTCAGTCGGAGAACAGATTTGTCTCAGTTACAGTCACCACTGGGGATACCCTCCTGCTGCCTCTCAGCCTCCCTGGGATACTGTGGGTCCAGGCAAGCCTACCAGTTCATTCACTTGTTTGAAATGCACGTCAAGTGCTGTACCAGGCCCTGGGGACAGTGGTGAGCATAGTCATTTTGTCCCAGCTCACAAGAAGCAAGCGGGGATGGGGGTTGGGGGGCAGCGGTGATCAAAGTAACAGAAAACAGTGCATTGATTTTAACTGTGATAGGGGACAGGGCCTGGTCTGGAATATTCCCTGAGGAAGTGACTTGTTAGCTGGGAGCTGAAGAATGGGGAAGAGGAACTATCCAAGAAAATCCCTCTCTTAAAACAGCTACTCCTGGGGAACGCTGTGATGACCCGATGGAACCTCTGGCTCTTTCTTGGCCAGGCAAGTGGTCAGATCGGAGATGAAAAACAAATGCACTCCAAGTGCACAGGCTCCTCCTGGGACATGCTGCTCTCACTCATGTCACCTGGGCACATACCCCCACGATGTCAGGCCCCAACCCCAGCCCTGGTTAAGGAGGAAAAACCTTTTAGGAAAGTGGCCAGGAGAAGCCTGCCATAGGTTCAAAAAGACCTGGGATGGGGGGACCCTGGGCACTGAACCAGCCCCCTAAGTCAGCATTCCAGGTTGCTACTGCAAAGTGAGCAGAAAGCAACCCAGAGGCTCAGACACACTGGCCACCAGCATATCAGGGTAACTGGGAACATGGACTATGGAGTCAGGGTGTTGGGGACCAGCATTGCGGCTTGCCACCTTTGGCAAATTACTTAACTTAAGCCTCAGTTTTCTTGCCTCTAAAATGAGTACGATAATAATAATAGCATCAACCTCACTGGTGGTTTTCAGGATTTAGTGAGATAGTCTGTGAAACATCCTGGTACATAGCAGGCACTTGATGAACCTTAGTGTTATTATTATACATCCTTTTATTATCTCCTTTATTACAAGATTCTGCCAGTTCAGAGATGAGGAACCTTAGACTCAGAGAGGCTAAGTAACTTGCTTAGGGTGCCACAGCTAAAAAGCAGAGGAGTTGAGGTTTGAACCCAAGTTTCTTTGCCTCCAAAGCCTGAGCTCCTGGGAGGTGGTGGAAGGAATAGATTAGTGGCTGCCTGGGAAGAAACTGGGGTCCTATTAAATCATATTTTTGTAGATTCAATAGATGGGTGTAAATCTTTCTGGGGCTGAGAGTGGAGCGCATATCCTCTTTTTCTAATTGTGGGAGTTGGGCAGGGCTCCTGCTGGGTCCAGTCGTCTCAGGCATGGTGGGATCAGGACAGGCAGGAGTGGAGAGGGGGAAAGAACTACTTTGGACTTGGGGCACAGAGTCCCAGAGGCTTGGAGCTGTGCTGAGGCCACCCACAGAGCCCTGGCATGCCATCCTTGCCAGCCCAAGCTGCAAGTCTCCGCTCACCGGTAGCCTCAGAAGTTTGTGGTACTCCCTCCCTTACCCGCCTGGGACCCCTCCTTCCCTTCTCTCCTCCCTCATGAATGCAGTAATCCCAACTAACAAAAGCGACCATGGCTACTCCTCCGTGTTTGTGATGCCAAAGCTGGCAGTGCCATGCCCAGTCAGTGTGCCAAGCTGAGCTCAGGCCCCTTCCCAAGTGCCAGGGGGCCTGGGCCCTGCTGCTTGCCCCCCCCATATGAAAGCCCAAGGAGCCCTCACTTCTGAGACAATGGAATTAAACCACTATGGGGACGAGGGGGACAGTGAGAGTGGAGGCGCAGTAGTACCTTCCTGAGCCCGTCCTCCTTCCTCTTCAGTTCTGGAAGGGCTGGCTTGGAGGCTAAGCAGCCCTGGGCTTGAGAAGGGAGGCATCCAATGGCTGCAGAGTGCAGAAGATGCTGCCCTGGAGGCCTTGGGTTTGAGGAAGTGAGCTAGCATGATGGAGGAAGGGTGGTGCCAACCCAGCTTTGGCCACCTTCTGCAGCCTCTGGTGTCAGTCAGACTGAATATGAATCCTGACTCTACTACTTATAAACTGTGTGACCTTGGGAAGTCACTGAACTTTCTTGAGCCTCAGTTGCCTCA